CACTATACATATAGACATCTAGAGTGTCGATGATCTATGGAAGTAATCTATGAAATCCTTATGATGTCATCAACATTTTCATAACTCATATTTTGCGTGTCTGCGGCGCTGCTATACAGAGTGCTATACAATTTCATACAAAGATATGGAAAATCCATTGCGTGTGTGCTGATAAAATGGACGTTTACCATAAATGTTATATTAATACTCATAACACATTATTTTTTCGGTCTTAAAGTAGGTACTAATAGTTTAATCATTAGTCTTTCTAATAATATTCATGGAATGATATAAAATGTACATACTATCATATTCCATTACCTTTTAAGGTATACAAAATATAAGCACGCCATCTGATAAAATGACTGCATTCCAATATCAATAAAGCTAATGTGCTGCTATAATCCCGCTCAACTTATTTCTCATTTATTGATGCACCCGGCGATGGTGCCTCATAGTATCATTACGGTATCATATCTAGAATGTAATTTCATGTTTTGAAGGAAGATCATAAGCATAATCGAATAGTGGTATCGCCCCCAATAGATTTGCTTGTTATGCAAAGTTTGATTAAAAATCAATTCGGTCAAATGCAATTTGTTGTTGTGATTGTGCATCGTTTAAAGTTAAATAAACTTAATGCGGAGGCCACACTAACCGGTTTTAGTTTATTGTTAGTGCGCTGCTTTTAAGTTCCATTACCTTCTCCACTCCGCTCGTCTTCCCTCTCTTAATTACTTTATTATGACCAACGAAGTGTGTTTATTGAAAATCATACAATAAACTTAAATTTATCCACCAATAATAAAATTAGATACGTTTTTAAAATTGTATTCACCGTCATCATCGTTTGCTTGTCCTTGCCATTAGAGAGATGATGTTAGAGCATCATCTCAACATTCACTCTTAATCGTGTTTCACAGAGTCTGTCCATGTTTTCTGCAGTGTTATTATTATAGAATATTTCATTAATTATAATTTATTATATGTTTGCATTAATTAGGGTGTCAAACTACTGGACTGACTGATTTTAAAAATTCTTTTACCTACGTGAAGCTACATTATACGCAGGCGTCATGTCCATGACACGTAATTGAACCCTTATATTATCGTCCACATTCATGATCATAACCATAAGTTGCTGTTTCTCAATTTTTCTGGCACTCGAGCTACTTTAAAACTTCCTAATGCGTGCATTCTTCATTCTACATGTCCACTTTTCAGCCACAAACTACGATCGAATTGAAAATGTATTATTTAAAACCTCGTCAAGGTGGTTTCATCGACGGTATGGTCAGTATCATTAACCTCTAAGCTGATTACTGTTGAAAACCTTTGGTTGGTCTTTAGGTCATGCATTCGTCATCATAAGACATTATAAACCGGCTAATTGCATGACACACCCAGTAGACCGTTCGACGACCAAGGTCGGCGCGTTTCCATTTGCCCGGTTAACCTATTGGTATTCAATGTGTTGAAGTGCTTAGCGGACGGAAGTGTCTTGACCAGTGCCATTGTTTCCCGGATTCAATGAACCCTATTTAGGTTGCAATAGCTGCACGGTAATGTGTTTGTTGAGGTTTCTATTAATATTTAACCATTATAATATTCTATCTAATGGATACCCCATTAGTGTACACTCTAAAATATTCACTATGGGTGGCAATTGCCAATTTTATTATTACCTACTTGTGTTTTTTGTTATGTGTTTCCGTTGATTAGACATTTTGACAATATAATTAAAAAAAAAAATTGCCAAATGTTTCTTTTTATTTAAAATTAACTTAAACATTAAAGCAGAATAAATGCTTACAAATAGAATAAGAATGTTTATTTCATGTTTACACTTTCTAAATTGTCTTTATACTTTTTATCAGTTTCTAAGTGTAGATGATCTGTCGGCTGATGCCTAATTACTGTCAGATGATTTGAATGATACATCTAATGATTTACTTCAAGTGCGTTAAAGTGAAAACACGTTAAATAAAGTTAGTTAAACGATTCTGTTTATTTTATTAGAATGATATCGGTATTCAATTTCAGTTGAATTTACTTCGCAAATGTTGTATATGTGTTACCATCAATTATAAACCGATTATGTCTAAATACTGTTTTTACTACCATCCGTAGCATTTCCTACCAATGATAGCAAAAAAGTGTTTCGATAACATACCATTGGTAGGTAAAGGATTGATCTGATACTGATAACCGTTCGTTGGCAAAATGTATGAAAACGGCTCAAAAAGGTGTTTCAATAAAAAATGTATCCGCCGGTAGAGCTGTCAAACTTACTGTCCGTAGGTATTCTGTCAACCTGCCAATTTTGATCGGTTGTTGCGTACCGATTGTTGTATTTGGCGAAGTTTTTAATTTTTATATAACTTTTCCCTAATAACAAAATGACTAGTAGTTCAGAAAGTGATATAGAAATGTTGAACCTGTTATCAGACTGGGCAGACTCTGATACAAATGACGAAAATAGGCGTTCTAAAGTTTATAAAACAAGACCGGACTACTTAAAAGAAAGCATAATAAGGAAGCAAATCTATATCTAAATACTTTACTCTTTGCGCTGTACCTGGATTAACCGAAGCCATGTTTGATAGACAGGTACCCAAGATGAGATTCGAAGCTATAACCTTACGCAATCCGATCGACTGCTTATTTCTACTCCGACCAGGAGGGCGTCCGCCTAACTCTCTAGCCATAGGATACGAAATTGTAGCGAATATTATGACGATATTTCGTTTCATTTCACTACTTTGACATGTCTTGGTGGAACCTCAACAACTTAAACTATTGATTAAATATGTAAATTATGAAACGAAATCACTATAAAAGATAATATCCATTGATTATAACAAATTAAAACATTTAATAGCTATGGCTAGAGTTAAAGCGAGAAAGCGGTCGCTCTGCTGCAAAGTAAAAATTATAATAGAAAATTAATAGCTTCAACTTATCTTTACTGTTTCGTAAACTATATTATGCAATTTATGAATTCCGTGATTTATCTTCAGTTTTGCCTTCGCTAACCCGATAAGGGTCTTATATTTTGGTGAGCAAAAATATGTTTGTTGATAATTATTGATTTTCGTCATATTATTGCACGTATCCCTAGTATTGCAACTATAACTGGGGTAATGTGCAAGTATATATCGGTGTAATATTGTGAATATTGACAAGTAACAAATCGGTCACCATGCAGGCGACCACGGGGGTTTTACTCCTCGTTCTTGGTGTAATAGCTCAGGTAAGTTTGGCTTATTTTTATATACAAATTTCAAAGGAATGCTTGCCCGTTTACTTACTCAATTACATAAAAAAAAGTAGGTACACTTAATATTTATTAAACTGTCTTATTTTTTTAGTATCCAGCGAACGCTCAGTACTATGGAGCTCCATTTGCCCCACCAGCACCAGCATATTATCCAGGCGAACCAGCATACTATCCACCTACTGCACCCTTCCCGATACCGCCCACGATACCTCCCTGCCCTACAGCCATTAACATACCGATGCCGCCGTCGCCTCCCCTTTACGTGAACCTACCTCCCCCACCACCAGTATACGTGACGCCACCTCCCCCACCCCCGGTCCTAGTCGAACTCCCTCTACCACCTCCAATCACATTAACCCCGCCGCCATTACCACCGTTCGTAGTCAACCCTCCGCCGCCACCACCAGTGACAGTAGCACCCCCTCCCATCCCTCCGGTATGCGTGAATCCCCCACCACCGCCTCCTGTATACATTACCCCACCAACACCGCCAACTATGTACATCAACCCTCCACCTTTACCTCCCATGTTGGTGGATGTCCCACTTCCCCCTCCGGTGTTAATCGAGCTACCACCTCCCCCTCCAATAGTAGTTCAACCGCCTCCATTAGGTCAGATAATGATACAGCCGCCTCCTCTGCCACCCATCCCAGTAGACATCCCACCTCTACCTCCGATTATGGTGCAGCCGCCGCCTCTCCCACCGGTGTGTGTCCAACCCCCTCCCCCTCCCCCGATATCAGTGCAGCCGCCTCCCCCGCCACCTATGACGTTGCAGCCACCTCCGCTCCCGCCGCTAACGGTTCAGCCGCCCGCTCCAGAACCGCTGGTGTACCAGGTGCCGCCCTCCGGACCGATTCTTGTACAGCCGCCGGCTCCGCCTCCGTTTTGCGTTCAACCACCACCACCGCCGTCCCTTTGCCTTCAACCTCCCCCTCCTCCCACCATTTGCTGCAACACCTCGCCGGCAGATTTTGGCTCCCCTTACCTACCACCATCACTGCCATTGTATTTGTAACGCGCATATAAAGTTTATGCTAAGTAAGATTGTAAAGTTGTGTTATTTATTAGTGATTAAATAATAAATGTAGAAGTTAATTTAGACTTTTTATTTCATAAGAATCCTGCGTACTGTCAAAGATGAAGTTGCGGTTATATGATATTCAAATGAATATACTATCTTCTAAGTAAAGTTTTCAAAGAAGAAAGAGACAAAAGTCAATCCTATATGATGACTCATTTTGAGTTGGCGTTAAACAGAAATCTGCCGTGATCTTTAGACATGCGGGTATCAACATGAATATCAGAAAGTTTCAAAATCGATTGCAGTTTAAGTTTCTATAAATAATTAAATATGTAAAGAATTTACGCTCGTTTCCCATAAGGGCGAGATTATTGATTTCCAATTCATACGGTCCTTTTTTTGGGGAACTTGTGTTACATATTCCAACGCATGCTTAGCAGCGGTGTTACTATGAGAAAAATTGCAGTTGCTAACCCATTACAGATTAACAGTGTAGGATAAGGGGAGTACCTATTGGGAGTGAGATCTAAGAAATCTCAATCCCCCCTTGCCAAATTTATCGTTAAATAATCGTTTTCTAGTAAACCTCTATTATTTATTGGCAATGTAGGTATATAAACATAAAAGTATGTCGATTGGTTATATATAACTGATGCGATGATTGTATTTGTGTGCAGCATGGCGGGGTCGGGAGGGATGAGCGAGTGGAGCGAGGGCGCGGCGGTGTGGTTCCAACCGGCCGGCGCGCCCGCCCCGCTGCCGGGCTCGCTGGTTGAGGTACACCGCGCCGCCAGGGTGCTGCTCGTCAGCGCCATCGTCAACGGACAGGTGAGACGGCAAACGCACACACAAACGAGAAACACCTAGTTACGGTAACGGAAGAGCGAGCATTCGTGGTGCCAGAAATTGTAAACATTACCGAGAGACCGCATAACCGGCAAAAGGAGATGAAATTGGTAGGTCAGTCAAAATGTATTGTATAAAATAGTGCTCGAAAAGTTCGTTTTACTCGTTCGGGATGGCTCGAGAAAAATTTTGCTTAACAACAACGATCGTGGACCACGGTGCTTATCTTCTACGCCACTCTTCTGCTCACTCAATGTTGTATAGTTACTAGAAATAAATTGAATATCGGTGAATTCAAAAGCTCTTTAGCTACTTCACTATTGGAGCTACTATTCACAGATGTATTAAACTTCCAATGAACCTGTAACCACAACAAAATAGGCATCAACTACTATCCTATTTGGACTTCATCGTGCGTTCAACGATACATACATTCCTCAATTACTTAATCAAGTCTTGCGTAGATTTTAAATAGTCACGATTCTAGGAATATCGCTATATAATTATAGCTAACACCGTAACATTTTTTAACGAAATACCATCATTAGACTTTGATGAAAACGAATTTAAAAAAAGTAACGACTTCAATCATCAGAATAAAGACTAGGTTTCACATTACTATCTCATAGGTTCGGCATAGGTTCTATTCTTATATTCTATTCTCTAGTCAGGACTTTTCAACTTTACTATTTTTGTTTCGGATCTGCACGTTTGTGTATGATTGACCTTTGTTATTTCGAACATAGAACACCCGGACTTTAGCTTTTTAAAAAAATAGAAACAACCATCTGTTCTTATGTTTGTTATTTATTTACTTAATATTCTAGCTCGTCGTCGCTTAAACAGAAATTGCATCTTGTAATACGAGTCTTAAAATAACTACCAAACGGAATTCGTTTAGTTTAGATCCTGTTTGAGCGTCCACAACACGATGATTCTCAGTTCTATACATAATATGAGGTATAAAATAAGTATTAGTATAAAATAAGTATAGAGGTATAAAATAAGCAACAACAAGATTTGCGTTATTATAAGCCACTAACATAATCTAATTTAAATTTAATAAAATTATAAACCAATTAAAGTAGACACATATTGTAAAATAAGTATATCGAGGAAGCAAAAAGTCAGTTTTTATCATGCAGTGTAATTTCTGTGACATTGTAAAATATGCCAAATGTTATATTACACTTGAAACACGTAAATGACGTCACAACTACGATACAATAGAGGTATGCACTTGCGCAGTATACCAAAAGCAATATATTAAGATTTAATGATGGTCAGAACTCGTATTTGAGAGTTGACAATGTAGAAAAACTAAATTTGACATAAAATAAAATTAGAGGCAAATGTAATGAACGCATGTTGAAATTAAGAAATGTTTGTTTGATATTTATGACAATTCATATAGATCTTTTTTTTTTCACTACAAGTTCATATACCAAAAGCAATATATTAAGATTTAATGATCTCGTATTTGAACTCGTATTTGAGAGTTGACAATGTAGAAAAACTAAATTTGACATAAATAAAATTAGAGGCAAATGTAATGAACGCATGTTGAAATTAAGAAATGTTTGTTTGATATTTATGACAATTCATATAGATCTTTTTTTTTTCACTATAATTTCGTTCTCAATGGAAGTTGCATTAATTTCGTTGCACAGCGGTGATATATTGTGGGTGATGTTAATGCTACAGAAGTCAGATTGCGTGGCATTTTATAGTTATTTTATAACAATTATCGCACGCACGTAATTGATGTAAATATGCTATTGCAAAACTAAATTGAGACACGTAATAATAATCGGTAGGTACCTATGTCAGTAGTGCGTGCGTATTTAATTCCGTTCCAAGTGTACAAATATAAATATAGACAGCATAATGTTGTAAACCACCAGGAAAAAGTTCGTAAAAAATGCAAGCCTGCCTATTCGGATAACGGCTGTGTAATAAAAGAAGTGATCTCTAACTGTATATCAAGTTATTTTGGATTTCCTTAAAATAATAATTCCTCTTTTCAAGTATAACGTTCTTCAGTTGCTTTCAAAGACTTTGTGGTTTTAGGTATGGCAAGTTTTAGGAATATTCGTAGAACTACTCACTATTTCTACATCAGCAAATAAAAGTATTGTTATTAAACTATTTAGGAATATTTAACAAAATATCTTAATGCTATAACGTGATATTATAACGATCATTCATTTCGTGACAATTTTAAAGTTAAATAAATTATAACCTTCTTTTAGTACATGCACTTTTGCTTGCCTCAATATCTATCCATACGAAATAGACATGATATTTTTTCCTTCCATTTATTATTTATTAACAGTCTAGTCCAGAAGTTCTCAACCGGGTAGATTACGAGCGAACAATAAAAAAAATATGTACGTACTAGGAAATCACATTCACTTCAGTCTATCCACTGTTTCGAAACCCGATGTAATCTATCGCAGTTTATGCATGTGTAGGTGATGATAAACTTTATCATACAAATTTATCAGGATTTCAAATTATGCGGAACTTTATTGTAGTCCCGAAAAATCGATGACTTTAGTAAATATACTAAAAACTTGAAGAAAACAAGTAAATGCTTTACTCAGTCAATCGATATTATTGATTTAGTATTTCTTGTGTCTTCAATTGTGTACCCGCTATTAGATTAGATAGTATTATAACCGTGGCTCTAAACGTAATAGGTATTTCATAACATTCTTTGTGAAAAACGTCTAAAAAGTTATACTAGTCCCGATGATACAAAATAAATAATTTTATTGACTTTGTTTTTTAAACCGCATTGGCTTGAAAGTTGTATGGATGGTAATTAATGAATATTCTTTTAACATGCCAAAGTCAGAAGAATATCGTTTAGACTTAAAATATACTGTAATAACTGGCCTACAAGATGGATATCTTCTTCTTCTTTCCACGGGCGTCTCTGCAACTCGACGTCAAAATTGCACCTATTTTGCGTGTGAAGGGTATGTCACTGGATACTACTCCAGCCAGTTCAGCTCTGTCAGAAACACTCCCAACCCCTTCAAGTCTGCGACGGCCTCCTGGAAGTTACCAGGCGAGTCAAGGTGGTTTGCCCGGTAGTTGGCCACTCCGATGCATTCCAGCAAGACGGATACAAAAATTGATCAACGTGATCTAAGTTGCGTGAGAAGTTGCTAAAAGATTTAAGGTATCCCGGCAACTGGTTAGTAATTAGAATAAGGCCTTTATTAATCGCAAGACAGTGAAGACCATGTCTCGAACTGGACGCCCGAAAATAACTACTCCTAATGAAGATCCCATATTAAATAAGCTCTCAACAAGTGACGTCCAAAAGTCAGCAGCTTAAATTAAACATGAACTTCATGAAAATTATGGTGTGTATAAGTTAGGTACGGTAGGATTGCATGGACGACGTCCCGCCAACAAACCCCTGATTTCTGCAAAAAACAGAAAGCTTCGACTAGCATTTGCAAAACGCCATAGATCTTGGACGAGTTCCGAGTGGTCCAGTGTTGTGTGGTGGTGAAAGTAAATTCGATTTATTCTCAACTGATGGAATACACTATGTGCGTCGACCTGTAAACAAATAAATTGATTTTCAATACCAAATACTGATGATGAAGCATGGAGGTGTCGGTATCTGGTGTTGGGGTGCTTTCTCGCCACGGTGTTGGGCCACTAATCAAAAAAGAAGATACTATGGATCGTTTTGTATATGCTGATGTATTAAAACAACAAATGCTGCCGTATTTTAAAGAAAATATGCCACTTGGGTGGTATTTTCAACAAGACATGACCCTAAACACATCCAAGCATGTGTTGATAAAAACTATGAATACAAAAGTTTTGAAAATGCCAAGCCAAAGTGCTGATTTAATTCGAATAGAACACCTTTGGGAGGAGCTAGATCGCCGAGTAAAATAACGTGATTAAAAAAATAGTTGAAAAATCCCGGCCTAGTCTATTTGGTGTGACAATCTGTAGAACATAATGAATGTCAAAGTTAAAATTTCCGTTTCGTATAGGCATCTCTTGTCGATCGTCACTGAACGGTTATGCTGGTTTTAGTATCATGCTGACTGTCGGCGCTGGCAGGCCAATATGTATGGGTTCTATAGTAGCGTTCTATAGTTACGCCGACCGCTCAGCGCTGACGAGCGTCGTTGCACGTCGGTGCCGCTGAGCGGTCAGCGCTGATTATCGCACGCGCGCCTCCGCCTTTAGCGAGCGTTCCAGTGTCGAGCCGAGCGGACGCCGTCAGTGTGTACACTAATGTGGAATAACTATGAACACATACATAAGTGTGTAAAATACATTCTTTTTGCATATATAACTGCAGCAATTTGAATACTCACAGGATTGACCATGCCAGTACTTGGCAGCGATCACGATCCTGAAAGGAGTATGCCCTGATAACTACGCGCGTAATCGTCAGCGCGGGCGGTCCCCGTTACACTAAAACCAGCCTTACATGCAACACGTGACGTACTGTAATGCAAGGCCGGCCAACTCGGAATGCCGATAGAGAGTTGACTCACGCACCAAGACGGTATACTAGTACTACTACTACTAACGCTTTATGCGCCCCTGGTACTTCACGACTATTAAACCCTTCTATGATCCTTATTATAAATATTAAAAAAACTCTTTTTTTAACTTGATTGCTAGCAGTAATTTGATTTTGAACATATGCAATGTCTGTTTTTGATTATAGTTCTTAGATACTCACGTTTTCCCGAGGGGACTCCTAAGCAGATTCTTTAGAACAGACGAAAAGAGGATAATAGATCGCGAATTAACGCATGGGGTTGAGTAGTAGCTCCCTACGTCACAACTATCTAGAAAATCTACAAAGGTCGTGTGACATTTCGCTTTTTAATTAAAATAATGCCTATATACTTGTATAATATTTTTCAATAATCTACCTGAAGAACAAAAAAATAGTAGCCAATGCTTTTTCTCTGATCTATGTTTAAAAAAAACACATCTATGTTTAACATTTAAAGAAAAAGCAAACTCGGTGCTTTTAATTCAACGCTGTTGAACTGTTACAGAGTTTCTAAAATAACTACGCGATAGCTTAACACAAGATTATATTTCCATTTTCTAGTTTACCAAGGAGCAGTATCAGTCCAATATTATTGATCTATTACTACAGCTGTAAAAAGGTTTATGTTATGCCCTTCAACTTGAGTGTGATGACAGAAGATTTTAACAAAAAATAATTTAAACAATAACCAATTAAAAAATTAAACTATGTCATTTTTTCATTAATCAGGTGTTTCGTGTTGCTGTTTTATAATACAGTATTGTGCGTTCCGTTCAGTCTACGATTCAGTCAGTGGGCCTTGCCTTCGGTATTATTGTCTCGTTTTGTGTTTACGTCGACTTATGCACTTTCCGCATGCAAGTGACAAAAAGCATTCTCACGATATCGTCACGATGACAAGTTACTATGAATGCAAAAACATATTACGTTTAAGTTAATTATAAACAATGCTATAGACATGTTTTATAGAGCTAAGTTGCTTTCCTGCTTAAAAAGGTGCATACAATGAACCTATTACACTGTGTATTTATTTTTATTGTCATCAAAAACTGAGATTATTTATTTATTTTAGTTAAACCGTTTAAAATCGATTAATATATTGAATTATAGATACAAGCTCTTATATTAATTGATTTTGTATTTTATTAGGTGACAATGGTCAAAACAAATAATTATCGTTGACTTTAAAAAAGGTACGAGAGTTAGATTTCGTGTCATTTCAATAAAAATGATTAACTATTTGATATAGGTAATAAAAATCGTATCAGTAGTCTAATTAAGCATTGTAACGGAAGATGAACAGATTCACTGTCAATATAAATCGTCATATAAGTAGAGTAAGTACTAGTTCAAGTCTATAGGCGACTAGTTTTAGTTTCAGGTCCTCTTAAGAGATTGAGGATAGCGGGTTGCCGTTACTGAGTAAGTTTTATAACAGTGCTTCCTTCATCAACTATACGATACGCCGACCGTGGTAGTCAGTTGCCGCCGGTGTCGGCCAGCTGTCTGCCGACCACTAGTCGATTAATATTCCATAAGAAATATTAAAGAATCGACATGTTATTGAAATATTGAGGTGTTATTCGGTGCGAATTTCTTAGTGTGACATTGTTACAGTTTTGTCGTGATTGGTTGCAGTGTGTGTCGCGCGGGTTACAATAATAGTGATAGTGATGTAAAATACAGTTAAAATTTTGTTTTGTGATTATTTATCATAGCATAAATAAAACTCGCCTTTAGTTTGTTTTTACTCCTTTAGACTTATGTAACTCCGCTTAAAAACACTAGTAGTATTTCCCCGCTGTTTTCAGTATTGGATAGGAAATTTTCGAGACGATCTAGGCCTTGGTCTATCTAGTTCTGGTTATCAGTATACTACTCACCTATCATCCGTATTTATGATTCCTGAAAATAAGCATGCATGCAGTATTAATGCATTACCATTAGATCCAAACCGATGGAAGTTACACTATGCTTATTAGTGCCCTCTATGAGGCCACAAATAATGACTAACTAATTTTTTTATTTATGGTATAAAGGAAAACACGGACAAACATTATCTACATATGCTACAGCTAGTGTTCAGCCTGTATGTTATCTTGTGTGTAAACGGAACTTCTTTAAAATAATGACTAGAAAATATATCAAAGAAGAATGGCGAAATCGGACCCCATAATTTACAAAACCGTACATGGATGGCAATATGACAAATAAATAACATATGATTAATAGATTTTATTTCTACAGAATGGTGAATTTTAATGTCGGGGAACCAAACTAAAATGTTAAATGCTGCTAATAATTATCAAGATAACAAAACGTCTGATGATAGTGCAAAAACAAAACGCGAAAATCTTTTTAAGAAACGTTCTGGTTTACGCAGAAGTACTTTAATAATAAAACTATATCTTGGAAGTGTTTCATGACTTTTGCCCTTGAAAAGGGTCATCTATTTTAATGGATATTATCGTTTCCTGTACATTGCAATTAATTCTATTACCTTTAAAGTACCATCAATACGCTTAATAATCGAATATAAAGTCAAAATAAGATTGTATAGAATTCATTCCGTTCTCTTTAATTGAAAACCACACAATATATCAAAGGGTTGTACCTGGATGGTTTTTGAAAAATCAATCACATACATCAACGATGTCAGAAGCGATTCTCAATTAATCGCGAGTTTTTCAAACATGTTCTATAGAATATTATCTGTCGCCATTTACTGCTAATAATAAGTGAGATATGTGATGTAATGACGTGTACCGACTGAGCGAATGAACGTCAAATATATATTCAATATATAATATATTATATGAAATACGGTCTTTGAATACTTTCATAAATATTTATTTTATTCGTTCAAATTACGTATTGAATACTTGAGAAATAAAAAAATTGAAAGCTAAGATACCACAACCAATTTAAGAAGATTATTGCCAGTTCTGTAGTTGAACCGATGAAAGGTTAACGTATAGATTATTTTGTTCTAAATAATCGATTGGTTGATTTTATTTTGACATGTTTGTTTTCATCTATGAATGTTGTAAGATGATGATGGTGGAATGATAGCGGATGATTGGTTTGGTTTGTTTTTTGTGTGTTCGTTCGTGGAGTTTGATATTTATGTTAATATTCAACTTGACAATTAAGCATGTTTCTTCGACTAACGTTGATATTTGCATTACTTTTGGATTCCGAATGGCGATTGATTCGGTTATAACAATGACAGTTCAATGTGTACATTGCCCTTGTTTGTCACTTTCAGTTGTAATGATTTAATTAAAGGCAAAGGGATCTACTCCACACAGTTTAGTCATATAAATGTTTCTTCTATTATAAATGTCTGGATATTGTTAGATATGTAATTATTTTAATCTAGTTTATTAAACGGAGTAACCTGGTTACCATTTTTATTCATTTTAACGTCCATTCAACGAAAAAGCAAAGATGCAATATATAACCTCACAAAGTATTTTATGCCATATATCTTTAATCCCAACTTTTAAAGGAAAAAGACGATTAGGATTTTGTTAGTTTAGCTTATACCTTCAAGTACACGTTTATTTCATTGATGAACGCGACTTTAAAAATTCAGGTCCAAAGCTATATGGGAGTTCGCCATTGTTCTTTGTTTTACAAATCATCATATTACAATAAAACTAAAGATTATACTGTACCAATGAGAGTTCGTTTCGCGCCAACACCGCATAGTTCCCCGGAAATCGGATCGATGTCGTCACGTGTTTCTTGCGTGTCGTGCGAGTGGTGCGAGTGTTGCGAGCGCTGCGTGTCTGTGGGTAGTGATGCGACTCGACGGCAGCGTCGGCCGTCAACATCGCCCTCTGTGTCAGTGTCAAGGTCGGCTAGCGGTGCGTCGAGTTCTTCGAGCGCGAAACTGCGACGTTGGCGACCTACAGAACCGCCTCCTCTTAAGGATATGTGTCTGAACGTCTTAGTTAATAATGTGATTATATTTTTATATAATGTTATTACTATTCGACTAATCTTTCGAATCTCACTTGACTTAGTTATTTTTCAAATTTTACTGTAGTATACTGTAGGCATAGAAATAATGTCACTTAGTGCCGCTAATGATCCAAGACTGGTAACTATTATAGTCAATATACGGAAAATAATAGGTCTAATTTAAAGAATTAATAGTTATAATTATTAAGTAAATTGAAACAACATTACATACATTTTTGAGATTTCAAGTTAATTATCTAAAGCATTTGTTGGTAACTGAAATCAAACATAAGCGGAGAGTCCAAATGTATGCAAAAGATACTTGACATACATAAGTGCGGCAGGCAGATAGAACTGTGCAGGCGCGGTGTTTACATACATCTTCTGCTTCCTTGATGTTTATAATTTTTTTTCATCATCATCATCATCATCAAAACATCACCTTTCGACAATACGCGATCAATTTCCACATAAAAGGTCCATAAGAATAATTCTGGTTCAATATCATATTATCCATGTAAATTAATACCTAAAGCTCGCCTCGTTGAGGGTCACTTAACAGTACAGAGGCAAGCAACTCGTCCTACCTACTCGACCGGAACGCCCTGTCACTCGGACACGACTATGTAAATAGACTAGCTCGCATTAGGAATCCAACCGTGAAAACTTAAAAGTCACGATTTAAAACTACCACCGATTCCATTGCACGTTCGCTTCGGAAACCAGTAATCGCCACGCGTGACTAAAGTGCAGTGAAATGCAAACAATTATATAGGCAGCGAATGGCGCAGGTCACGTAAGATGGTCTGATAATAAAATCTAAGTCATTACTGTTACGACACAGTTGCGGACTCTTATCATGTCATCAGATTATAATTTTCCATTTGGTTGCAGTTTCGTTTCACTATTCTTTTCATGAGTGAACCAGTGGGAAATTGTGCAAGACACAATAATAAAATTATCTATAGAACTAACGAATGAACGCGTTTTAGTGATAATCGAGTTTATTATAATTAATTCGCTTAGAATAGAATAGAATTTAGCTTACTTTAAATTACATATTTACTTTTAGGCATTTTTGTTATTAAGTTACGTTATGTTTGATTACTGTCGTGACAATTTATAGGTACTTTAAATATAATATTAATTTTAATCATATAACGCATAAAAATCTCAATTTTTTTCTTCCGTAATTTACCCTTAAAGTCTACTCATAGATAAGAATATTTTATGAACCCTATCGTATTATCGACAGCCTCAAACCTTCGCTCTCCAAATGGGTAATGGGGAAGAGGAGGGGGATCCCGTCTGGCCCCGCGAGGAGCTGGGACCAACTGGAGTGGAAGACATGACTCGTCTGCACGATCTTCACGAGGCTGCTCTGCTCTGGAACCTGAAGCTGCGTTACGAACAAGGACTCATATACACATACGCGGGTTCTATTCTTGTAGCTGTTAACCCGTACAGGCCGGTAGATGCTTTGTATGGACTGCAGACTGCGAGGAGGTGAGATTACAGTTTTAATATTAATTTCTTACTTTAATCATTGAAGTTCATGATAATAACTCATTTTATGAAGTATCAATAGCAAAAAGAGTAGTTTTACTAATAAATTCAAATTAAAGAAATAAAGAGCAGCCGGCACATGAGTTTTTATGTCAATCGTTATTTAAAAAAGTATTTCCTCTTCCAGATACCACGCAGCGGAAGCGTTAGGGGATTTACCACCTCACCTGTTTGCCATAGCAGCCGCAGCGCGGGCATCTTTGCCGCAGCCGCAAGCCATACTCATCTCCGGCGAGTCCGGGGCTGGAAAGACTGAGTCCACAAAACTAGCTGTACAGTTCCTCGCCGCTGTCGCTCCTGCACCCCCCGGCAGAGCGCCAGTCTCCGAACAAATCCTAGAAGCGGCCCCGTTACTCGAAGCATTCGGAAACGCCAGGACACCGAAAAATCATAACTCTAGTCGCTTCGGGAAATTACTCGAACTTTACTTTAAAGACGGTGCCTTAGCTGGAGCGAGAGTAGCCCATTATTTATTAGAGAAGTCTCGTATCGTCACCCAATCTCCAGGTGAAAGGAACTATCATGTATTTTATGAGATACTAGCCGGGTTAGATGAAGAACAAAGAAAAAGTAGGGGTTTATTGACGGCAGAGCATTATTTTTATCTAAATCAAGGCGGTGACTCCGGGGGTGCCGGCGCTGGCGCTGATTGGTCAGCCTTATGTGGAGCTATGCAAGTCTTGGGTATCGGAGATTCTGAAAGGGAAGACATCATCAGAGTTTTAGCTGCTGTCTTGCATCTCGGAAATGTTTACTTCCATAGAAAGCAGTTACGCCATGGACAGGAAGGTGTACAATTAGGTGGAGGTGCCGAGGTGCGTTGGGCAGCGCATCTGTTGAAGGTGCCTGCAGAATCATTAGCGAGAGCTTTAACGACCAGAGTGACGGCAGCTAGGGCTGAACGCATGAGATCACCACTACCCATCGATCAGGCCTTAGATGCGAGAGATGCTTTCGCTAAAGCTCTATACTCATCCCTATTTAATTGGTTAGTTCTCAGGATAAACTCAATAGTGCATCGTGCAGGTCTACATGATGCTCATCGCATATCTCTTCTCGATATCTTTGGCTTTGAAGATTTAGAAGAGAATTCATTCGAACAACTCTGTATAAATTACGCTAACGAGACACTGCAGCATTATTTTAACAAACACATATTTAAATTGGAGCAACAAGAGTATCAGAAAGAACGTTTGGAATGGTCGAATTTAACGTGGAATGATAACTCTCCAGGTTAGTATGACCAACTATATAGTGAATCCTACTTAAATATTAAGTGTTTTTACTGATTTAAATTTTATTTCTAGTAATCCAGCTGCTTAGTAAAAAACCGGTGGGTATACTACATCTGCTCGACGATGAAAGTAACTTTCCACGGGCGTCTGATGCGTCATTCCTAGAGAAGTGCCATTATAATCATGCTCTGAACGAGCTTTACTCTAGACCGAGACTAGGAGCTAATGAATTTGGGGTGAGTTCTCATGAATAGATCAGACAACATTAATTATTAATGGCATCATATTAGTGAAAGTATTTTTTATGGAAACCGGCTAATAATCTATTAAACCGAAATTATGTCAAAACGTCTGAGTTCAAATCTTTTACTGTCTGCCCACTAACATAAATATTGTTAGGTTTTAGAACGTTTATCAATAAAGTTATATTAACCTACGATACAGTAAATATAGTTTTGCAACCACACATTATTTCACCATCCCCAGATCAAACACTATGCGGGCCAAGTATGGTACAACGTAGAGGGTTTCCTGGACAAGAACCGTGACGCTCTGCGCGCTGACGTGCTGGAGCTGCTGTGCAGCAGCGAGGTGCCGCTGGTGGCGGAGATGTCGGCGCAGCTGCGCGCGCACCACGACGCCAACAAAACTCTGCCTCGCGGCGCCAACGGACGCTTCGTCACCATGAAGCCCAGGACTCCCACTGTGGCAGCTAGGTTAATTTTTATTCCTGCACGTAGAATTAATTGTAGAGTTCAAAAAGTTGTAATTAAATATTTTTTTCAGACTTAAAGTTGAACGTATATTAAAAGAAGGTGTTCCTTCCAGATAATAAAACCAGATACCGTTTTATGTCGAAGAAACATTCGCAGACGTTTTTTTATTATTTATAGATAGATAGCCGTGATATACTTCCAACTGTCAATCTTGTCCAGGTTCTCGGACAGCCTACATCAGCTGTTAGAGTCGATGTCCCGCTGCAACCCCTGGTTCGTCCGCTGTATCAAGCCCAACACGGACAAGTCCCCGATGCGTATGGACATGGCGTGCGTACTCGCGCAGCTGCGATACACCGGCATGTTGGACACCATCAAGATACGTCAGACAGGATACCCGATCAGGATACCCTTCCAGAACTTCGTCGACAGATACAGGTGATTAATCTATTGAATATTTTAAATGTTGAAACTATTGTCTTCACTGGCTTACTCTCAATTTTCATTTTTATGCCCTTCATTAGACTTAGCTAATAGTAAAAAAAAATATTGTTTGAATTTGTTCGGAGGTTTCTCGATTTATTTTTTATGATTAGATCAATATTAAGTGAGTACACCAGTGATCTGAAGTTATTAACATCGTTTATATTGTTGTTGAAGGTATCTGCTCAAGTCCACTCCGACGCGGTCCACGCCCTACAGGGAGATTTGCAATTCAATTCTCGCCGAGATGCCACCCACTGGTGCAGGTAAGTACTTCACTAAATATTACACCATTACCGTACATTAGACTTGTATAGTACTAGTACAGGTTGATCCACATCCCATAGGACAGAGTTTCCTAAACTTTTCTGGTCCACAGACCCCTAGGAAATCTTGCACAATTTCATGGAATGCTAAAGAGAGAGGAATAAACAAATTTGTATTACAAAAATTGAAGTGCCTTTTCATTTAAAATCTCGTTAATATAAAGAATAATAAGTACTGCTTCATATAACTTAAACTTGATATTTGAATTTATTTTACTATCGACTTTTAATTCTACTGGCACGCATTCGCCGTGATAAGGCTCCCATACATATGCTCGTGGACCCCTAGATGTCAGCGGACCACATGTTGGGAAACGCTGCCATAGGAGAAACTGTATAAGAACATTTGTCGCACTAATCTTTTGGAGTTAACATGATAAATATGCCTGAAAATTTTATAGATTATGCCTTTTAGTTAATACGAGTAAAATAAAATAAATTAATACTTAAATTAGATAGAGAAATAATATTCCATTGCGTAATGTAAAATATACCGGTAACTTTTCATCTAAAAACTAAGTAGGTAATTTTTAATGCAATAACATTCCAATCGTCGTCGCCAAAACCAGAGTGTACATTCATACTTTGTCTTTTGGCTCGGTGTTGCCTAAACGGATGAGCTAAAGATCTCATATTGTTTTTTGAAGCTCACTTTTGAAGAACCGGGTCAAGCCATGGAATTACTCACACTCTGCTCACATTTTGAACATCGATTGAGAGGTGATAGAAATCTTGCCTATCGTAATAATTGTTTAACATCGAATTCTGTATATTGTATTTAAATGAACCACCCACAACTTTATATTCTTATGGGATAGAATTTTCGATATCATGACTCATTGACAAATTATGCTAAGGCGAAACGTAATAGTTTTAATAATTATGCGTTTCCAACTAGACAGTATTTAGAAAGTTGAAACAAACCAAACCCGTTAAATTATAGTTATAATAGACAGTTTAATTGTTAAAAAAACATCGAAATATAAAACTGTATTTTATTGATACAAGTATTAACAAGATGATGATAGTCAAATCTAAAGAAATCTGCGATATACCTACCAGTATTATGATAGAACACCCTCGTGTAATAATTCGTCTTGTAATAGCTTTATCCATTACTTTATCGATAGTATAATTATTAAGACAATGATTAACACATATCTATATCATTTTAAGTCTTTGGATTAATTTATAAAATGTTTAACATAGAGATTTTAAATGTAACATATTATGTATGTTGTATCATAGTCATATTTTTCATTTTCACTTAATTTAATCAATTTAATATAAATAGCTTGACGTAGTGATGAATGATACATACATATACAAGGAACCTTTGTTATTTTCTAAACAATTTTGTTATTAATATATCAACTCTTATCATGTTATAATTAGCTAAGAATTTTGTATCTTTTCATTCAGTCCATTGAGACAGAAGGTTAACAGTTCATAAGAAAAATCAATATAATATACAATAATATATTAAAAGCATGTTAAAAGTGATAAAAAAAAGCGTAACAGAACTTTGAAAGTGATGGTGTTGTGTAAATGATTCTCGTATATAATTTCATTTTCATTGTAATTTCAATTTAAGTGGTGTTAAGGATGAAAAAACCCACAAAATAATTGATTTATGAGAAAAAATGCATTTCATACACAATTGTTTATTTTTTACACACGCGTAGGGGGTGTAATATATTATTTTATTTTTGTAAACAGTCGGTGCCGACTACCAACTGGGTGCGGCTCGCGTATTCATAAGGGAGGCATTACACCGCGCCCTGGAGCGCGCACGAGCAGACAAACTACGCGCCGCGGCCACCAGGCTGCAAGCACAAGTCAGGGGATACCTGGCGAGGTCAGTCGCATGACTATAATTTTTATTTTTTCGTAGTAAGGTTACTATAGTTTGAGGTTACTGATTTAAATTGACTCGACCGGGACGTGTACTTTTCTCGGTGCGTGTTTGATTTTTCACTAAACTTATTAAATTATTTTGACGGAGCGGAAGTTACTAAGGTTAAGTTAACGCTGCTCATTTTTCGTTCGGGAGCTAACGCTAACCGTACATTATACTTCAGCTCGGTTGAAATATTGTAAGTTTAAAGGCCATATTTTAGAAATTATCTTTGCTAGAATGCACTGGTTTCTGTTTTGTATATTTTTGAGATGTCAACATGCAAAAACCTTGTATCGACAAGAAGAAGAAGGTTTGTATAATTAGACAAGATGAGTAAATCGAGGGCGACATGTTGTACAGGAAGCGGTACAACCAGTTGCGGTGGTCGGCGGTGCGCGTGCAGGCGTGGTGGCGCGGCGTGCACGCCCGGCGGCGCTACTGCGCGGCGCGGCGGGGGGTGGTGCGCGCGCAGGCGCTGGTGCGCGGGCGCCGCGCGCGCGCCCGCCTGCGCGCGCTGCGGGAACAGCACCGCCGCCGTCTGGAGGCGCAGCGGCTGCAGGACGAGTCAGTGCCGACACCAACTCATATATTATTTAATCTATCTCGAGCCTCGACACGGTTGAATACTAAAGAACCGCTAATTAGATTAGTAGGTATCTCGAGGCCCCGCGTTACTATCCAGAATACTATTTTTTACTGTCCAGAATCCGGTGGTACCATTTTCGCTTCCGATTTCCATGACGAGAGCTTTAGATTATTTTTAAAACTAACGGTCCAGACATAGAGCCTGCTCATATATAGCTCCGAAACTCGCACGAGAGCGATAAACAAAAGAAGCGAATCCATCCCATCTATTAAAATTATTGTTTTTACCTATTGTGGAAATGATTTTTTGCTTGTAAGTCATTCTTTATTTATTTATATTGTGTGTTGTACAACAGAGTGTTTTATCTTATCTTCTTAAAAAAAAAACAAATAATTTCGTTATTTAAAATAAAAATTTGCACTATCTCTATTGAGACAAACGGGAGAAACTCATACCCTATAACTGTTATGTACACCAGACGGCGTGCCGCAGAGCAGAAAGCCCAGAAGGCTCGTGCGGAGAGCCTGCAAGCGCTGGAGGTGCCCGCGGAACTCGCCTTCCTGTTCACCAAGCTGGACGCCTGGCAGCCGCCGCACACGGACCAACATCTCACCAAGGTATATACTCTTCTCTTTAAATAAATACTCTCACGGTTGCACAAACATCCATTACCGTTGTTATTAGTTTTAAAACGACATTACGGATACAATTTTTCAAATTTAGAACATTAATTATAGCTTAAAGTCATCATTAAACATTTAATATACGTTTGTGCACTGGGCGTTAGTTTCCTTTAAGAATGTAGGTGGCGCTGTGCTACCACAATCCAAAAAATTAACTTTTATGTCCAATAAAATTCAATTTTCATACTCATAGTTATCTTCGTAATGTACCCGAAGTTAAGATGACGAGCATGCACCTTTTGCAAATGAACTCTATCTCGCCTTCGGTCATTTTCATATAAAACAAAGCCACCACTTATACATAGATCTTACCACTTCACATAAACGTACATCGGATTGCGAACGACTCGATTATGGTGCGAGTATAAACTGTGAACTGTTGACTAACATAACATATTTTTGTGTTCTCTGTTTTATATACAACTGCACATTTGTTGTTAAACGATAATTTTTAGTCATTAGTTGTATTTTGTAAAACATAAAAATAAAAAAGCAGTTTTGATTATCAAGTTTCAGTTATTAAGTAAAAGTCATGCCGACGATAACGTCGATATCAGCAGGGTAGGCCAGTAGTACTGAACCTTTAACCGATCAATAAAATGTTAAACAGCTAAATAGAGATGGTACAAATGTCCAGGTGTCTGGCGAGGTGCACGCGGAGGAGGAGAGCCTGCACGTGCCGCGTGACCTGCAGCAGTTCGCGTTCAGCAAGTTCAGCTCGGTATACTTCGCAGACGGCGGACAGTTGAGCCCCAAGAAACATCCCATCACTAGGCCCTTCCTCTCCAAGGCAGCCGTCAGGTGACTAAAATTAAACTTATAATATTTTTAGTCACACCGCTCATTACCAGTGGTCGGAATTAGGTAGAGTTATTCATGTACTTACACTGATTTCATACAGCGAAAGAATAAAGTGGATATGCCTCAAATCCCGAGATTAATTTTAAAGAGCAGAAAAAATCCCATGATTTTTAAAATAAAAAGTTATTTACTTTTACACAATTTAAACTACTGCACGCACGACGTTGTCAAACTTACATCAATGAAAGAAAGAAATAAAGAAAGAAGAAATAAAATCCCGGGAAGGTCCACATTAATATCAACATTTCGATGCAAGTACATAAATAACTCTATCTAATTCCGACCTCTGCTTATTACTTTTAATTTGATAATGATTATGCTAAAGTTTAGTCTGTAACTGCAAATTAATTAAGTGTCTACACAATTTCGTTTTTTACATTATAAATAACATGGTAATTCAGACCTATGTCAATAAAGTAAGTTGATTGCCTACATTGACTCGACCTGGAATCGAGTAGAAATGTAATTTCAAATTTTTAAAGTAATTTCAAAATGTTATCTTGAAACAGTTACGTGAACCACTTGACCTTAGAGGATTGTTATTTATTTTCTCTTTTCACACTGACAAATTGTGTCTAAATATAAGATTTGTATTTCAGAGATCAAGACTTCAATGACGCTGTGGCTACATTCAAATTGATACTGAGATGGTGTGACGAATCAGCTGCGGGGAACGAAGCGAGACAGAAGGTAAACAAACATTGTTTATCTAACAGTCAATAGTTAGATTTTTAGTCTGTAGCCTTTGGAATTAGAGGAATATGTATGGTACTGAGAAACGCCACCTTACGGAATAAAACGGAATCATCAAATTACGCATTGAGATATTCGAGATCTAAGCGAGACAATTTTTTAAAGCATGTGTTACTTTCGCTACACTAATAAGGGCATTTTTATAATTTTCAGACAGTCCACCTTAGTAACTGAAAGAAATATTTTTAAAATCTTTTGATTAGATATTTATCTATAAAATAAATTATTTATTTATCTATAAACATTATATATTTGATATAATATGATTATGTCTTGTTTATATTATGAAGATAATATAATAATAACCACAAACAGCCCGTAACCGTCGAAACGATGCCACCTGTTACCCAACCAGAAGGGGTCCATTACATTAATAAGTACATAAATCTAACGCTCGGTTGCGTTGCTCCAAATCCGATGATAATTACTACTTATTTTTCTAGCAATTTTCATTCGGCTAAGATTCTCGTCGCATTTTGGTAGCGCACGCACTATTAAGATTTTTATTTAATAGTAGTAGTAGTTCGTCCAAGGGATAGGCGATATTTTTGTTTAATTTTCCCGCGTATTTAGTTTTTTTTATCGATACAAAGGAATTGAATGCGCTCTGCCAGTAGTATATGCAAGTATCATAACAATTATAATGTAACATGTTTGATCAGGTGTTGGCAGATTACATTGCGTCGCGAGGCCTGGCGTCTAGGGGACTGCGCGACGAAATCTTGGTGCAGTTGTGCAATCAAGCTAGTGGGAATGATTCTTCGGAGCGGGTATGGCAGCTCATGGCGCACTGCCTTTCAGTATTCCAGCCAGGTCCGCCGTTGCATAAGTGAGTGATGCCAATTAATTTATATTCAAGTTACTATATTTTGATAAATTTCTACAAAACCGATACATTTTATTATAAAATTTATAAATTACCTTGAGTAGCTTATCATGATAAGTTATATTTATAATTTGTCACTTCGGTATAGATTCTTACAACGGTAATTCAATATTATTTCCAGATGGAAATAGTTACGTACGTGAATTTGGCTGAATGCGTTTGATGGACGTGGTTGATAGTAACTATTAAAAGAAAAGGAAAAGAAGGAAGAATTGATAGATTTTCTCGACTTTGATCCGATCTAAGTCCGGCCTTGCTTCCGAGTAAGAATGTCCTATATACCAAAATTGTAACTTTACAAGAGTGACGCTGTATGGTCTCTTTTACAATTTAAAATGATAATAGATTTGTAGATTTAATGATAAACAGTTTATTGATATTAAATGATATGCTAAATTATAATATTGGGTACACGTGACGAATGCTAATTGTGAATTTAAAAATATTGCTGATATGCAAATTAAATATTAATAATTATAAATTAAATTACATTTACATGAACGCTGAATTAGCACAATGTACGGGCATTTATCGTACACACGCAAAACTCGAGTAAAGTTTAGTTTGGGTTATATAGTAAGTCTTATAGTAGGTTATAAAAGATAACTATATTTAATAAGATTTCAGATCGATATTAAAACTTGACTAGGATTTGCGACGTATGTAAGACCTGATGGTCTGATCCTTGTAACATGAGAATGGTATCGTGCCATAGATATTTGGTGCGGTTGATATCTGAGCGGGCGCCGCTGAGTGTGCGCGCGCTGCTGCTGCGGCTGGTGTGCGGCGGCGGCGCGGGAGCCGCGCGGGCGGCGGGCGTGCCGCGTCGCTGCCCGCCCACGCTGCTCGAGTGGCGCGCCAACAGGACCGATGCCCGCACCGCGCTGCCGCTGCGGTTATACGACGGTCAGTCCACGCCTCTATACATAGCCCACACTTACACGTCTATATCATGATAAAACGATAGAAGAACCACTCCAAAATTGTAGTATGACATTCAAGTTAAAAGTAGAAACACAAATGTCTCTGGAAATTATTGATTCAGAAGGTTGTTGCTGGAGTTTGTAATTCAAAATAAACAAACTAATTAGTATTGGTTGCCCTCACAACAAGCATGTTTAGTTTACTGAATTGTAACGTCACACGAAACTGTCATGGTCGCATGCTTTTCGGTTCTTGTAATCGGTAGATTATAAATAACAAGTTGGATTTCAAAATTAAAACGTACGTACAATTTATTGTAAAAAAAAATACAATGTAGTTATTGTTTCCGACATATTTCATAATCTATTGTTGCAGCTGTTAAGTAGCCAATTAACGAATGGAGCGTTAACATTCCATAGGACAACGATTTTTTTTTTTTTTAAATGTGTAATATAAGTGACTGCAATATGTCAAAAATAAACACTTAAAAACTATATATTCGGTCAACTTCTTTCGCACTATATTTTCATTAGTTAATCCCGTTACAGTCGAGTAAAGTATCGTGTGATACATTGTTTAGATACCGTGCGCGTGGTGTCCGTGGAGCCGTGGACGTCGTGCGAGCACGCCGCGGCCGCCGCGCTCGCCGCCGCCGGCGTGCAGCGCCCGCACACCGGCTGGACCCTCACCATGGAACACAACGGACTACTCACCGGTAACTGCAAGGGGACCATATATCTTTCTATGTCATTTCCGAAGGCTCATCATCGCCTTCCGAAGCACGGAGTAGCTCGAGATAACAATTTTTGATCACCCATCCCGTATAACAACCCCGGTGCTTATCCCCTACGCCATCGAGCTACTTAGGTTTCAAAAGTTATTCACTAATAAAGATATCTCACGTTAATAATCTCACTGTAAATTTAATAATTTACAGTTACGTTTACTTAATTCATTATCGTTTGAAATATACATATACAATACGATATTTGTTGTATCAGAGTGGGCGGGATGCGAGTACGCCCTGGACACGGTGGGCGAGGTGGAGACGTGGTCGGCGCTGGGCAGCACCCGCGGGGAGCCGCTGCGCGCCGCCCCCCGCCACGCGCCCCCCGCGCCGCCCCCGCGCGCGCCCGCGCACGACCACGACCACGCCACCAGGCCACAGGTACATACCACCCGCGGCCATACCACCTTCCACTGAATGAATATTCATTCTCACATAATGGAATCGTGAATCACGTTAACGAAAGTTCCCGTTCCAGGTCCCTCCACCTGAACCGCCGAAGTCGCGCTCCCCTAGCATTCAGCGGCTTCTCAGGGAGTCGATCGACGAAGGTCTCTCAGATTACAACTGGAAGATGGAACGCGACGATGCCCCCGCCGTCGCCGAACACGGTGAATACTCGAGAAAAACGTCGCCCGATAACGAATTCACGAGAAAGACCTCAGAAGACGACTACTCTAGGAAGACTTCCCACGACAACGATTATTCTAGGAAAACCTCACACGACAACGAATATTCTAGAAAAACTTCACACGTCAACGAATATTCTAGAAAAACTTCACACGCCAACGAATATTCTAGGAAAACTTCCCACGACAACGATTATTCTAGAAAAACTTCACACGAAAACGAATACTCGAGAAAGACGCAGCAGGAAAATGAGTACTCTAGAAAAGTATCCCATGATATCCTATCTCGGGAGTCGGCGTTGAACGAAAGATATTTTGAACAGAGCAACGACAAAGTTAGAAGTAGATCACTGGACAACCTCCTCGGTGATAATCCGGTGCCCCAACCGGCGAAGCTGGCAGACTTGGGGTTGTCGCAGTCCCGTCTCAACGATCGTTATCACTCGGTGGAAAGATTAGGCGGGGCGCCCAGCGTGACCAGCAGCAAAGGAGCGATGGACATCGAATACGGGACGACGTCCCGAGTATTGCACTCGAGGTATATAAAGTCGCAGTACGCGGGCAAGAGAGCGCCTGCCGGCTCACAATCTAGTCGTGCTTACATCGAGAAGAGTTCTGAGTTTGGAGGCGTACGGTAAGAAACAATTTTTTTTTTTTTATTAATATACGGCTAATTCCAATGGGTGAACGGCTCGTCGCTTATGAATTTACTGATATTTTAATTCTGTTATATCACAATTTGTAAACTTTTTTAATTATGATAGATACCCAGTTTCAAATAAAACATTTGCTAATAAAATGATAGCTTATTTATTATAATACATATCTATAATTGTATTTTATGACTTACATTTGTTTTATAAAATTAAGAGAACGAAAGATTTTACTTTTTTTTTCACAATATTTCTTAAGATTCGGATAAATCGACTAAAACGTAGTTACGTTTTTAGGTCTTCGGCCATGTCCGACACGTCGGAAGCGCCGAGTCTGGCGTCCCACGTCCGACGCGTGCGCGTGCCTTCGCAGGCCTCCGACGTGGATCAGTTCCTCGACGATCTGTTCTCGCCGGTCCTCGACCCCAACATCGACGAGCTGTCCGACGCGAGGTCGCTCGCGGCGAGTATCAAAGGCGGCGGCTACTCCGAGTTCATCGACCGAATTCTATCATGCGAGTTTGACGACCGGCTCGACAACCTGAACGGCTCGGGGCACCTCGAAAGCTCGATCAAAGGGGGAGGCGAAAAGGACGAGAGCGGGAAGCGCACGAGCGTCGCCTCCGTCGACGATTACATCACGAACCTCTTCGACCCTATTTTCATGAACGACAGCCTGAAGCGGCTCACCGACGGCGAGGGGCTCTCGGAGGCGATAAAGGGCGGCGGCGCGACGCCCCGGACCGCGGCCGCCACCACTTCCGCCCTCAGCTTCGGCGCCATGTCCCTCCCCCCCGCCATGCCCGCCACCCCCGAGGCGCTAGCCGCCGCGATGGGCCTCCACTTCCCGCCTGCTGGCTCCGTCGACATGAACGCATACCACCAGAACCTCCAGCGGGCTTTCCTGCAGAGCGCGATGGCTCAGAACCTGCAGATCCAGCAGCAGCTGCTCGCCCAGAACCAGGCGCTGCAGACGCTGCTCGCCGGGCAGGCGGCCGACCCGCCGGACTCGGAGCCCACCTCGCCCGTGTGCGCCTCCACCGTGGTCCACGCGCAGGTGCACTCGCCCCCGCGCGCCTCCTCCAAGACCCGGCGGGAGGCAGACGACGGTCCAGGCGCGCCCCCGCCTCCGCCCCCGCCGATGCCGCCGCCGTTGCACGCGATGGACCCTTCCGAGGCGCGCCCTTTCATGGACCCGTACGGCCGCGCGAAGACCGTGCGAATCGGCAAGTGGCGGTGGCCGCCGCCGAAGGACGCGATCGGCGCCGACCCCGAGCGGGACTTCGCCAAGTTCAAGATGCGCCAGATCCAGAGGCGGCCGACGCCGCAGGCGCAGCCCGACGGTGGCGAGCGAGACCCGCCGCGGGGCCGCTCCCGGTCGGAGGCGACGCCGACCATCGAGTGGGAGGAGTTCGAAGTGGACGGGCCGGTCTCGCCCGCCCGGGAACCGCCTAGCCAGAGAACGGCGCGCCGGAGCTTCGAGATCGGCGCGCAGCGGCCGTCGCCCGGCAGCGTCGGCAAGCTGAAGCTCAGCTCCGAGATGAGGCAGCGGCTCGAGAGGGTCACCGCGAACCACTCGGTGCGGAGCTCCTCGTCGGCGGCGGACACGCCGCGCACGGTCAACAAGCTCGAGGACACGCGGCGGCTGATGCTCGAGCGGCAGCTCGGCGGCGGCCCGAGGTGGGACGCGCCCCCGCCGCCGCTGCCCCCCGCCCCGCCCGGCCCGGCCCCGCCCCCGCCCGGGGCCCCGCCCACCCCGCCGGCCGAGCCTGCGCCGCCACCGCCGGTGCCGGGGTCGGGGGACGCGTCGTCGTCGTTCGCTCAGCTCCGCCGGGACAGGGATACGTTCGGCGTCCACCAGAACAGGGACGCGGACGACCGGCACGCTTTTCTCGCGAACTGGAGTTCGAGGCGAAGGGAGGATGCGTCGCCCGCGCGCGACGACCTAGCGTCGCGCTTCCTGACGGCCGACAGGCGCGAGCGCCGCGGCCGCGACGAATGGGGCGACGAGTCGGACATGAGGAGTGAGGACGAGGACCGCGAGAGGCGGCGCGCCCGGGACGAGTGGGACTCGGAGTCGGGGCTCGACGGGCCGATCCGCGGGGATCGGGATGATTTCTCCGGCCGGGGCGCGTCCGAGATTTACGAGATCCATCCGGCGCGCGCCGAGCGGCGGAAGGAGGAGAACGGGCCCGAGGAATCTTTCGAGCGGAAGAGGTCGCCGTTCTACGACGACTTCGAGCGTTTCGACGGGCGGAAGAATTCGCGAGACATGCTGGTGGGGCGAGCGCGCGACCCGCCCCGGGCGGATGTCGCGTTCCCGTCGGAGAACGGCGATGCGACGAAGAAGATCGAGCGCGCGACGTTCAAGACGCACATGGTGCAGAAGGAGCGGACGAGGAAGATGGAGGCCGAGCGGAGATACTCGGTGTCGACCCACGTTACCGACAAAACTGAACATTTGGACGGTGAGACCTAGTTTATAGTCTATTCGTGAATTCCTCAATTAATACAATTATTCTGAATTAATATCATTAAAAAAAATATTGCATTACATTGTGAACTTTACGTAAGCGAGGACGACTGTAGTATTAAATCTTATAGCTCACGAAACTAGTTCATGCAGCTGAATTCTATTTTCATGTTTTTTTTTCCATTTAAATTATTATTATTTTTATATAACGTATTTTCCATTGCACAATTATTTTACCATTGGCAGTTACTTTACGAAAGGCATATAAATAAGTATGAACGTTATTCCTTTGATACAGGCGACGTGCCGGCGCCGGCCGCGTTGCTTCCGTCGGAGCGCACGTTCATGACGTACAGCCGCGTGCCGTGGAAGCTGCGCGTGCGCAAGGAGCTGTTCACACCGCTCGAGACGTATAACGATCCCGCCATACTGGACTTGCTCTATGCACAGGTAATGCATTATGCACTCGATTGATCCAAAGCTCGAAATTATTTAAATTTTACTAACAGGGCGTTCGAGTGTTACGTAGGGGGGAGTATTGTAAAAGTTACGATACGTTACAGGGATGAAATGGGGGTTCGTGTAACGCAACATCGGTATTTTTAATTGATTACAAAAATAAGGAATTAAGATCTCCCAAAGTTGGCAAAGAACATTATTGAACTGCTATTGATCGATCACTAAAAAAACTAAAGTCTTATGAAAGTGAATTCACACACTAATGTCTTCGAAAGGGGGAGATTTATATCACCATATATGCGCAACTGTGCCAACCAACTTTTCACCGCGCAACAGATTTGGTATAGTATTACCTAACATTTATGGGGGAAGGGTGTAGAAATCTTCAAGAAATGTGTTACATTACTTAACGTATTTTTAATGAGGCTCTTGAAGAGCCCCTAAGTCGAAAAATAAGTCACAAACACGTTTCAAAATATTTTTACAGTTCACAGATAAGTAGTCAATGTTTGCAAACGAATATTAATAATAGATATAATGAAATATTTTCGTTTACCAATAATCTAAAATTACACTGAGCTTACGTCATCAGGTGGACGAAAGAATGTTTGATCAATACATTTCCACTGGCACCCGTTCGTACAGATAGTGCACGACATAAACTCGACGCTGCCGTCGCTGCGCATCTCGGCGGCGGAGCGGCGCGCGGGCGGGGCGTGGCTGCGCGCGCAGGCGGCGCCGGCGCGCGCGCACGTGAAGCGGCAGGCGGTGGAGATGGCGCGCGCGTGGCCCTTCTACTTCGCGAGGCTCTTCACCGCCAGGCTCACGCCCGGGGAGGCCGCCGTGCTCGCCGTCTCGCACGCCGCCGTCACTATAGGAGTCAAAGGTATGCTGATGGCTGATCGACCGACGTCGGAGATGATGTATGCTTGAGAAATCTTAATATGCAACTATACGTATATTTAATACTTCAAGTCTGTTAGTGCTCTCATTTTATTTAGACCTCGAATTTTGTCGATTGTTACCAATAAAAATGGAAGCACTTCTAAATTGTCAAAACTTTGCAACTACAATAGGAATAACCATAATAGTAAAAGACAAAATGATAGCTCTTTGAGCTTTCTTCGATTTACATGTAACTTTCAATTTTATCGCATTGTAATAGAGTACAAAATACCGACAAATTCAGATATTGACATATTATTTTTAAATTTATATTTTAAGTATCATTGAAACGATGAAGTCCCTACAAATGATTAAGTTTCTGCTTACATTCTGTACTCTTTCCTTTTTTTGTATACAATCGTAGCTTACTTACATGATGGAAACGTCTTCAACCTATTATCAACCATACATTTTGTATTTATATAATAATATTTATTTGACCATAAAATAACGATGTTACATACTTTCCTTCAAAGATATCAACACTCATCCGCACATTGAATTCTCGCAGGCGTACTCACTAAAATTAAACAAGGAACCACACACACCCAAAACTTTTGTACTGATTGAGAACACTGCACACACTATGACCGTTTTAAACTGTTATTCGTTACAAACTAGACTATAAAAGAGTGGGTCTTCCCTGATACGAGTATTAATACTTTAAAGAAAAGACTCAATTATTGTAATATTGTAATGAAATAGCTAAAGCACGTTCTACCCCACTAAGGTCCCAGTGGGCTGCAAGTCCGGCGCACGGTCCCGCTGGCGGGGCTGCGCGCGGGCGCGCCGGCGCCGCACTCGCTGCAGCTGACGCCCGCGCGCGACGCGCCGCTCGCGCTGCACGTGCCGCTCGCGCACCACGCGCACGCGCTCATCGCCGAGTTCGCGCTGCAGCACGCACAGGTCAGTGCCCTTACTGCCCTTTACAGATTGTGACGGAAGAGAGTACTCTGTACTCTCTGTGGAGTGCCGAGGCTAATATAGACAGCTGGTGACTTTAAGCATGTTCCGTTTATTCAATATTTTTAATTCATGGATTTATTAAGGAGCACCAGGCGATTGTCTTTAAAAATACTACCAACCACTGCAAAATTATTTATTTAATGTGCTAATAAGGCCTTCAAATATCACAGTATTTAAAAATTCTATTCTATTCCTATTCTACATAAATACATGTATAAATACAAATACATAACAATGACTGAGTCAACATATTTTCGTAATTTCCGTATTTCTTTTTTTATTCAAACTCTAAATACTAGTAAAAGTTATTCATGGGTAAAATACAAATTAAACACGAAAAAATATATTAATCGAGTACTACGGACTTAAATTCGATTCATTACCAGAGCATCAGTATTTCAAAGATCTTAAAACTATAGCATTAAAAGGTTAATTATATCTGGCCATCACATTAACGACTATTTTTCTATAAAAAGTAGGCAAATCGAGCTTGTAATTTACAGAAACGGTCGTATCCAGTAAAGTGATTTCGAAATCAGTTATATCCATACCACATTATAAATCGAAACTTTATTTGGTTGCCGCTTCGATCACTGCATTTCAGTTTATAATAAATCTACTCTTAGAAATGTCGTAATCGCCGTATTTGATTGCTTATTGCATTTCTATCACGGGAATATTAAGGTTCATCATAATAATATGCAAGGATTATAGGAAATGGAAAATATGCATAAATTATTGCAATATTTATAACTACTCGTATGAATTAACATAACACCTAAAGCCCTATTCTATTACAGATACTTCGACTATTATTCGAAATAATGATACGACTCCAAAGAAACTAATTTTTCGAAAAGGGTTTAGCCGGATACGTATGACGAGTCGGCCCCCAAATGGGAATCGATATCGAAACTTATATTTTAATATCGACTTGATGTTCAAACACGATTTATGTACTTTTCGCGACCGACTTCCGCTTTGACCTTGAGATAGAGAGCAAAATATCCGTTGTGCTTGACTATTACTGAATGTGATATATCTCTGAAGCTAATTAAGATAAAGAAGTGAAACTAACGCGAGGTGTTAGGTTACATTACAGAGTATATCACATATATTTTTTTATAATTTTTAGAATGAAAAATTACATAAAAAAAATAAAAAATATAAAAAATCATGTTTTTTTTCTGAGTTCTCTGTGACTTACAATCACGAAATTAATATATGTTATGCTCCTTTGTGTGCTCTATTACCCATAAAAATTCCATGAAAAAAAAGTTGGTGCAACACAACGGAAAAAAATTATATGTGATTTCTGTCTTATAGTATACCCCTGTATTATAAGGTGCACATTACATCATTGTTTTTTTTTTTCGAAATTTCACATCAGCTTGTTTTAAAACATAAGTAAATAGTCTTAAGAGATGGGATAATAGTTAAAAAAGAAATGAAAAAAAAAACAGCCAGTGTTCAATACTATTATTATTACTTTTTCGTGTCAATCAAAATACAAGAAACAAAATATTAATCATCGTCACTGTTGTAAATTATTACAATCAGCTCAGATGCCGTTAAACAATTCAGTGTGGTTTTTTTTCGGTTCCAACGCAATATATGAAAAGTACGGTTCCAAGTACAATATATGAAAAGTAGAATGGAAATAAAAAATACATTAAGTCAAGAAGTACAAAGTTAGCGTTGGAACCGAAAAAAAACTACACTGAAATGTTGAACGGCATCTGAACTACTTGATTTTCCACGTTTGACTGAAGATCAGCTCAAGATTTTATTCACAGGCTCATATCAATTTTCACAAGCTATATCTTACTTGGCCAAAATAATGGACGATCAATATAATCTCTCAGTACAATATGTGAAATCAGCACCTAATATCATCAAAGCAGAAGTAAAATCAAGACATATAAATAGAAAAGTCTATCGAATTTACATTCACTATATTTCCGAAGGTAATGACTACAATAGTATTCTTCGTTATTGCTGTGATTGCCCCAATGGCAAACGTACAGTGGGATGCTGTTCTCATGTAGCAGCTATTATTTATTATCTATCATATGGACGATATTTGTCCAAAATCGTACGTCCTGCTGAGGTCCTAACTAAGTTATTTGCGACTCAAAGTGTTCCGATTGTAATTTATTACAACAGTGACGATGATTAATATTTTGTTTCTTGTATTTTGATTGACACGAAAAAGTAATAATAATAAGTATTGAACACTGGCTGTTTTTTTTCATTTCTTTTTTAACTATTATCCCATCTCTTAAGACTATTTACTTATGTTTTAAAACAAGCTGATGTGAAATTTCGAAAAAAAAAAACAATGATGTAATGTGCACCTTATAATACAGGGGTATACTATAAGACAGAAATCACATATAATTTTTTTCCGTTGTGTTGCACCAACTTTTTTTTCATGCAATTTTTATGGGTAATAGAGCACACAAAGGAGCATAACATATATTAATTTCGTGATTGTAAGTCACAGAGAACTCAGAAAAAAAACATGTTTTTTTATTTTTTTATGTAATTTTTCATTCTAAAAATTATAAAAAAATATATGTGATATACTCTGTAATGTAACCTAACACCTCGCGTTAGTTTCACTTCTTTATCTTAATTAGCTTCAGAGATATATCACATTCAGTAATAGTCAAGCTCACGGATATTTTGCTCTCTATCTCAAGGTCAAAGCGGAAGTCGGTCGCGAAAAGTACATAAATCGTGTTTGAACATCAAGTCGATATTAAAACATAAGTTTCGATATCGATTCCCATTTGGGGGCCGACTCGTCATACGTATCCGGCTAAACCCTTTATGACTGATCTAAGACACAATAATTTATATGACATTTCAAGACACAATGATTTTATACATAATGTAATTTTAAGAAAATTATAGAAACAATTCGATATTTTCCAAATTTTCGTTCGCAGATGTCAATTTATGTGGGTCATGTTAATTCGTACGAGTTATTATTTACTAAACAAAGAAAAAAATATTTATTTAACCTAAAGGCATAAATTGTGTTAAAATTTATGTACATAGTTACTAGCATTTGCACGAGACGTCGTTGTCGCGACTTCTAATGACGGATTTCCATATAAACTTTCGTCTCCAGTTTTGACCTCTTTTTACGGGACAAAATATAAACCTAGTCCTTCCTTTACAACGAACGCACTTGCGACTTCTGTCTATATACCGGATCGCGACAATCTCAAAAACTACCATCATTTCAATTATGATTTTCACCAATAGATTGAAGAATTATTATCTAGACGTCCACACTTCAATATCACATCATTTATTTTAAAAAATCCTGCCAGAATCCTTGCAGGGTAAGCACAGACACAGACGTGAGTAATCTAAGTATTTAATAATCTAAGTATTTTTTTTGAGTAGCTCGGTGGCGTAGTGGATAAGCGCCGCGGCCCGCGATCGTAGTCGTTAAGCAACTTTCGCAAGGGTCGGTCACGGGATGGGAGACCAAAAAAAAAATTATTATCTCGAGCTACTCCGTGCTTCGGAAGGCACGTTAAGCCGTTGGTCCCGGCTGCATTTGCAGTCGTCAATACCCTCCAATACGCATTGGGCCAGCGTGGAGGGTCATGGCCCATCCTCCTTAACCATCCATAAGGAAGGCCTGAGCCCCTGCAGTGGGGACGTAAAAGGGCTGGTGGTGGTGGTGAAGTATTTGATTAAAAATTTAATAGAAATTAATTAAATCACAATAAAATTATTTAAACCAGTAGTTCTAAAACAGGTCCCTGGAAGCATCTCAAGTCGTCCGCAAAACCTCATAAAATTATTACTATATAAAAATAATATTTAATAATTTCATGTGTTTGCGTCTTCTTGGCGCAATGGAATTTATTCCGTAAAATAAAGTGGGTGTCTTAAAATATGTATTTATTTGCTAACAATCTTGAGATGGATTTCGTTTTTCAGCGTAAGAAGGTTGATAGGTGAATGAATATATAAGTATTTAGATGATCAGTGATAGGGCTTCGTTGCCTCCTAACTAACGCCTAACTAACCTTATTAATTTATTGATACATAAACCAAATAACAATATTTATCATTTCTTAGGTTATAGCATATTAATCCGAGTGGGTCCATGGTTTTTGTAGCTGAGAAAACAAAAATTTGGTAGCCCAGCATGCACAGTTTAATTGCAGCAACAATTGACGATGGATTAATTATTTATAGAATAACTAACCGTTTACAATTAATAAATTGGTACAGTTAACAAAATCGTAATTTATGTTTCACAATTAACCAATTGTTATTTTTAATAGAGTAATTGACAGTTTTAAATAAAAGTACAGAAAAATTAATCTTTATAAAATAAATAATGTTTTTTTCGAAAATTTATACAGGATAAGACCAAATATTTAGAATTTTAAATTAAATTTTTGTTTGAAGTCACGTGACAAGCAGTTAAAAAATAATGTTTTTACTATGCAAAAATACATAATCTGATCCTAATTATTAAAAATGAGTAATTCTTTATCACCCCTTTTAATGTCCCACTGCAGGGGAGGATTGTAAATGCTGGATATCTTTCGTTTAATAGTGAACGTCAAGGTAGCAGGCACTTGGTGTGCGAGTTCGAGGGTCTTATGTTTGTCAATAAATAGTGAGTATAGCAACGTGTTGTGGATTTTAAAATGCCGAAATATAATTATCAGTTTGATTGCGCAGTGTGTGAGACACTTGGGAGGAATTTTATGACATGCCAAAACAATCAATATTGTAATGAGAAATGCTTAATAAATCCACCAGCACCAGGTGCTCTGAGATGGGACTCGAACCCACGACCTTACGCAACCCTTCCTGGGGCAAGTGGATATTTTTTAGCATCTTTCATTAAGAATATTTTCTAGTATAGCATTGTGATACAAAATTTATGAAATTAAATATTTTATTTTATAATCACTAGCAAACGTCACGGACAGGAAAGATGTTGAATTTTAATACAAACGTATTATCTTTTTACCCGATCACGGCGAAA